ATACCTCCAGAGGCACAGAATGTATTGTATACGAATCTAGATCCTGTTCAACACCATCTTCACAATGGCGAGTTATAGGTAACGAGTACAAAGAAATGTACTTTCTGCTTCGCCTACAAGTGGACAAGGCAAATGCGTTCGACGGAGGGGATGGTTCAGCTATCGATAAATCGTGGCAGCCATGTTATGTCAGTGACTCAGTCGTGTTCTAGGTACTGTGGCACAGGTCTCCCCCCCGCAAGTAAGTAATCGGGGTTTGACTAAGCAAGTATGTAAAGGCAAGTGGTAACTACCTAGCGCCGCCATCTTTGAGAACATACAGTTCTGTCGACAGTTGGACATCCATGTGGTTGCTGATCACTTGGATAGTGCAGAATCCTCTCTGTATGGAAATTCTAAGTTATCTGTATTACGATTTCTTCTTCAGTGCTGGTAGCCCTGAGTAAATGACTTGAGACTTTACCGAAAGCGGTAGAGAGTAACCTGAAATTGTTTTTTCTCCATTGTTTATTCGTTTAAGGCGTTGCCATTCAAGGAAAATTATTGATTTCAAGGGACATGCTTGTGTCAGGAATTTTCTGGTGCGTCGACCCCTTCCTTGCCTCGCCCTCCATCCCCCTCTTCCCTTCCTCTCCCTCCCTTTCCCTTAACTTCCTTTCATTTTATCTTCTTACCTTCCCTTCCTTTCCCTTTTCCTTCTACTTTTCCCTTCCTTTCCTCTCTCTCTTTTCTCTTTTCTTCCCTTCCATTTAGTTCTCTTTCCATTTCCTCCTTTTTCTTTCGGGCTTTTTACCTTTCTTTTCATTTTCCTTCCTTTCCTTTCACTTTCTTCCCCTTATCTCTTCCTTCCCCTCCATTTCCTTTCCTTTCTCACCCTTTTCTTTCCCTTCTTTTTCCATTTTCTTAATTTCCATTTTCCTATTTTCCTTTCCCTTCTCTTATTTTCCTTTGCTTCCTCTCCTTTTCCTTTTCTTTCTATACTCTCCCTTCCTTGCCTTTTCTTTTTGCTATTTCTTTTTCTTTCCCTCTCTTCCATATTCTTTCATTTCCATCCCTTTTCCTACCCTCTTCTTCCTTCCATTCCTTTTTCCTAATGTCTGGTCTTTTCTTCCCTTTCTTTTTGCTTCCTTTCCTTTCCCTTCCCTCCCTCCCTCCCTCCCTCCCTCTCTCTTCCCTTTCCCTTCCTTTCCCTCCCCTCCCCTCCCCTCCCCTTCCCTCCCTCTTCCCTTTCCCTTCCCTCCCTCCCTCCCTGGCTCGTCCCTTTCCCTTCCCTGCCCTTCCCTCACTCCCTCCCTCTTCCCTTTCCCTTCATTTCCTTTCCCTTTCCCTTCCCTCCCCTCCCTCCCTCGTCCCTTCCCTTTACCTTTTCCCTCTTTCCCTCCCTCCCCTCTTCGCTTCCCTCCCTCCCTCTTCCCTTCCCTTCCCTCCCTCCTCCCTTCCCTTCTCTCCCTCTCTCTCTCTCTTCCTTTCCCTCCCCTCCCCTTCCTCCCTCCCTCTCTCCCTCCCTCCCTCCCTCCCTTCCTCCCTCCCTCCCTCCCTCCCTCTCTCTCTCCCCCCTCCATCCCTCTCTCCCTCCCTCCCTCCCTCTTTCTTCCCTTCCTCCTTCCCTCCCTCCCTCCCTCTTCTCTTCCCTTTCCATTCCCTTCGCTGCAAAAACGAGACAAAACACGATCTGGGATCAGAGCGACCTAGACAACACCCCTTGTTTCGTTTTGCATACTGCGACGGCGATCCTATTTACAAACCTCATTAACCGGAGGGTGTAAGCGGCGACGTCGGGCGGGAGGGGCACCTTGTAGTCGGGCGTAAAATTTTAAAAGGAAAAGAATGGGAAAAAATAAGAATTGGCCTGTCTTCCCGCTCAGAAAATCTCCCAATGTTTTAACATCTTATGTACCATTTCAACATGACGATGCCGGGGAGTACTATCAGTAGGGAGAGATTTCAATGCAGAAAAATGGTAAAAAAATGTTCAAATGAAAACCAGGCGGGAAGCAACAGGATCGGAGTCATGTACTATCCAGATGCTGTGAATTCTGTCGCTCACCGACGGCTAGACAAGGGCCTGGGCTGTGTACATAATGAGTGGTGCTTAGCCCCTGCACTCATCACGCCCCATTATTCATGATTGATTTTTCTGTAGATTGAAGGCATCTTGAGGAAGCTGTAGGATACATAATGTCTTATATATGCTATCGCTACATGACACAGGTAGTTATACTTACGTTTATGACGAAATGTATTTACAATCAATAATTCGCAGTTGACCACAATGAATGTGGTTGTTGGGACCCTCATGGCACTGGCGGCCTGCATGGGCGTCCACGGCCAGTCCCTCGAGTCCCAGGACCTGATGCACAGAGCTGTCTTGGACCAGGAAGGCAAATACGTCATGCTATGGACGCCGCGGGACGACGACATCGTCATCGAAGTGCAGGTGAGTGCGGGTGCCTTCGAGAAGTCGCAGTGCATAATCGCAGAACTTTATAAGCAAGGAAAATATAAATAACAATGAGTATTATAATGCCTTACTCAAATACACAGCCTTATCTGTATAAAAAATCACTGTTACCTACACTCATTTCCTTTATTAATCCTGTTCACATTTGTCCTGCAGGTGGCGACGAAGGGGTACGTGGGCCTCGGGTTCTCCCCCAACGGCGGGATGCGGGACGCCGACATCGTGCTCGGCTGGGTCACGGACGAGGGGAAGGTTGCCTTGGAGGTTAGTGTGCAACCAAGTGGACTCGTGGTCGGCCTCTCAAAGGTCTTAGTATGAATGAGGTCTAGTTAAATGGATAAAATGAGTCACCCCGTGGGCAGTCAGACATAAACAAAATGGAAAATAAGGAAAGAAGTGGTAAATAATTCAACAAGCACTTGAGTAAACAAGCAAACAAGCATACAGCAAGTAATAGCCATAGCAAAGCGCTAACGACCTCTGTCTCAGCTTCTCGTCTCCATCTGCAGGATCGCTTCGCCACAGGCAACTCGGAGCCAAGGAAGGACAAGTTGCAGAGCGTAACGCTGCTGACGGGGTACGAGAACGACACCCACACCGTGCTGCGGTTCTCCCGGCCGTGGGCCACCTGCGACGACGAGGACCTGGAACTCTCGGTTGGCTTCCTGGCTCTTAGTTGTTTGCTGTCATAGTATCATTTCGTCACTGGTCAGCTGAGGTTCATTTCTCCTATTCGTTTATCGGTTAAGGTTTCCATTGCCAGTATCATTTTGCCTTCGGTTAGGTTAGTCTCGTGTTTATCTTTCATGGTCTTCATTGCTATCGATTTGCCATCGATCTCTCGGTTAGTTTTTGTTCTTCATTTATTTGTTATAGTCTCTTTTGATATTACCATTCTGTCGTTGTTATCGCCGACATTATCATTACTATTTTTTATTATTATCAGTTTTATTGTTATTATTGTTATTATTATCAGTTTTATCATGTAATAATTATAGATTATTATTATCAGCTTTATTATTATTACTATGATTATTATCATCATTATTATCATTATTACTGTTTTCATCCTTCATCTTCTGCTTCTTGTTGTTATTATTATTATATTTTATATTATTGTTGTAAATATGAATATAACTGTGAATATGATTATGATTATTATTGTTATTCTTCTTATTACCACCACCATCACCATCATATCATTATCATGATAATGATAAGAATTATGTCTAGTCTGTACCTAAACACTCCTGCATCACGGAGCGCAAAGTATGCAAGTATTTATTTTTCAACTGCAGAGACCTAGCCCTTTGTCACAGCACTCTCAGTGTGCCATTATATCTCCCTCTGTCCCCAAGGGCGACACAGTGCGGGTCATCTGGGCCTTCGGCAGGGACGACGAGGTCAAGTGGCACGCACGGCGCGGGGTGAGGAGCATCTACCTCCAGGAGCCGCAGTTCTCGCTCCCGGACTTCGGCGACGATGTGAAGACGTGGGATCTCGTCAGCGATGATGTAAAGGATTGGAATGCTTGTGTATAGTGGTGGAATATGTTCTACAGTGGATGCCCTGTATATGTGTTTTCTTTCCTCTGTCTCCGTGTCTGTCTATCTGTCTCTCTCTTTCTTCCTTTCCTCCAGTCTCATCTCCTCTCCTTTCTTCTATCCTCTCACCTTTCTCTCTATTAATGCATCTTTTTGGCTCTACCCTTTCTATTTACCTTTACCTCATTTGTCCAATTGAAGTTTTGTTTTCTTTGGTGAGCACAGATTAACCTACCAGATGACCTACGCACCCTATACTGGTGCAAAATTTTCAAGATGCCCAACATTGCAAAGAAAGCCCAGATCATCGGGGTAAGAAGTTCAAAGATAAAACATCTTCACTTTTTTGAGACAGGAAAGATAAACTTTGCACATATGTAACAACAGTAAGAGTGTTTCACAAATGACATCATATATATTTTCTTATACTTCCACGAAGACCGCAGGGAAAACCATGTAACTAACTGATTCATTTATCCATTCATCACCTCACATCCCTCCTTTTTTGCAACAGTACCTCCCTATTATCCAAGAGGGAAACCACCAGTTCGTCCACCACGCTGTCCTCTACGAGTGCAATCTGCCAGACAGCGCTCGTCACTTTGAGAAATGGCTGGACGTCAAGGGCGCACAGTGCCACAGCGCCAGCATGCCCCTGTCCTGGAAGCGGTGCACGAACCCGCTTTTCGCCTGGGCTGTCGGCGGCGACGGTAAGTGGGGCAGGGAAGGAGGGAGAGGAGAAGGGAGGAGGAGAGAGAGATGAGAGGGAGGAAAGAAGGAGAGGGAGAGAGACTGAGACTGACATACATACATACAGAGAGAGAGAGAGAGATAGAGAGAGAGAGAGAGAGAGAGAGAGAGAGAGAGAGAGAGAGAGAGAGAGAGAGAGAGAGAGAGAGAGAGAGAGTGAGAGTGAGTAAGTGATATACAGACGGACAAATAATCATACATACATAGACACACAGGCAGATATAGAGGAAGCGACAGCCAAACACAGTTTAAGAAACAAAGATCGCTCATTCCTCTGGTATTTGTTGTATAATTTATTACATAAAAGTCTGGACAACCAGCGTTGTGTTGCTTTAAGCTTTTGAAGGCAGCCACGCAGATAACAGGAATGAACAGTAAGTGAAATGAGGCTATACCGAAGAGTGACAAAATTGTTTTATTTTGTTCCCATAATGGTTCTGTGAATGATACCCAAGATTTCGGCTTAATATCATTAACCACGATAATTTATTATCTAAAGTAATCTCAAATAATTTTGTGTCATTGAAGTTGATTAACAAATTTCATGGCCGGTGAGTCGACGTCCAATGTGTTTTGGCAAATGTGAAGCAGGTTTGATTGTCTTAACTTTCACGTTACGTTCATGAAGCAAGAAGTTGACATTGTCTATTGTAAAAAGTCAAAAAGTGCAAGTATCGAGTCTTGAGGTACGCCTTCACTGATATTTCTCAGTTTGGTCAGCGCTCTGTTAGCTTGCATAATATAACTTTAAAACAATTAAGTGCTGGGCTCCTGATGCTATATATCGTTAACTTCGGTAGGAGGATTTCATGGAATATTGTGTCAAAGGCTTTTGACAGGTCACAAAATAATCATATAATCATCTGTTTTTATCATAAATACTTTGCTTCCGTTAGAAGTCATTTGTAAGTAAAATGTTCATAAGACATTTCAAGTAGTTTGCTAGTACGAGGAATTGGGGGAAAAGGCCTGTAGTCTCCATGCACGCATTTCGCACCTTTCGTGTGAACCTAAAAGATTGTTGCTGTTTGCGAGAGTGAGAGGAAGAGGAAGAAGGAAAGAGAAAGAGAGAGAGAGAGAGAGAGAGAGAGAGAGAGAGAGAGAGAGAGAGAGAGAGAGAGAGAGAGAGAGAGAGAGAGAGAGGGAGAGATGGAGAGGGAGAGATGGAGAGGGAGAGATGGAGAATGAGAGATGGAGAGGGAGAGATGGAGAGGGAGAGATGGCGAGAGAGGGAGAGATGGCGAGAGAGGGAGAGATGGCGAGAGAGGGAGAGAGAGAGGGAGAGGGAGAGAGAGAGAGAGAGAGAGAGAGAGAGAGAGAGAGAGAGAGAGAGAGAGAGAGAGAGAGAGAGAGAGAGAGAGAGAGAGAGAGAAAGAGGGAGAGAGGAAAAGTGAAAGAGAGAGAGAGTGAGAGATGAAGGATAAGAGCGACAGAATTACTAGAGAAAAGGGAGACAGAGAAAAGTATAAAAAAGAGAGAGTATGGTAAACATACAATGAAAAAAACAGAAAAGGGACATTTAGAAGAACAAAGTCAAGTCTGTGGTAAAACTCTTAATAATGTTAATAATAAGTGTTATTACAATTATGATAACAGTAATGATTATAATACTCATGGTAATAAAGACAAAAGCAATAAGAACCACAACAACGAATCAGCAACATAACGATGATAATGTACATTATACTGATGACCCCCCCCCCCCCCCCGACAGGAGAAATGCTGCCAGACCACGTGGGGTTCCCGATGGGGGAGGAGCACGGCGGGTCGACCTATTATCTCATGGAAATGCATTACGACAACCCCAACCTGGAGACAGGTGAGTTGCGGCCTTCGCTGAGAGCACAGTGCTTATGTAGGAGGAAGATGTGGCAGGGAGATGAAGGATGGGTATGTAGGATGTAGATATAGAATCTAGACGTAAGGGTAGGATGATGTAGGATATAGATATAGGTAGATGAAGATGTAGAAAATGGATGTTAGATGCTGCGAGACGTAGATGTAACATGAAGATCCGAAATGTTGATGCAGGTATCTAAACCTAAAATCAATATGAAGTTAAAGGGACGGAGGTGTAAGGTGAAGATAGGAATGACTTGGATATAGGATTAAGAGGAAGAATATATATGGACGGCAGGTGCTCAGCCTCAGATACTGACCAGTTTTCATGTTGACACAGGTGTGGATATAAGTTGAACATTTATTTTTCAACGGTAGGTTGGCAGCAGTGTCCACCGTTCCTTCCCCACTTCCCGTTCAGTTGGCACTATCCTCCATTTGCGAAAACTTTATTGGAGGTTGGCCATTGGGGCATGGCAGAAGGGAGTTTGTCAAGATATACTTTTCAATTAATACAATTTTTGATATATATTATATTTCTTATTCTCATATTAAAATTTCTTATTCTCATTTTCATTCGGAAGTGCCCCTGACTTCAGCTTTGTTTACACGCAAAGCTTGAAGGCAGAGTTCGTCGGGATTAAGAACCCATACTTGTTTGCTGAAATCGACCGCGTAAGCGATAGTTCTATTTCATGTGGCCTGCAAACTGGGGAACGGAACTCAGAGTATGGGGCGGTTTCGAAGGCTGGGTGTCAAACTGGTTGTTGAAAAAAAAATCATTTATGAGACAGGATCTCAAAGTGGCCCAAGCGCGCGAGGGCGTGCCAGAAGGCCCAGGGAAGATGAGCGCAGGCCCACGAGGCTGAGAGGGCCAGCCGACAGCGGTCGAAGGAGGAGCGGAGAACAGCAAAACTTAAAAAGATTCCAAAAAGAGCGAGAGGCGCCCTGTTCTTCCTCCTCTTTCTCCTCCTCTTCCCCTTTTCCTCCTCATCTTCCTCCTCTTCCTCCTTCTCTTCCTTTCCCTCCTCCTTTTCCTCCTGCTCTTCCTCTTCCTCCTAATCCTCTTCTTCCTCTTCCTTCTCTTCATCCTCCTTCTCCTCTTCCTCTTCCTCCTCCTCCTCCTCCTCCTCCTCTTCCTCTTCTTCCTCCTCCTCCTCCTTCTCGTTCTCCTCCTCCTCGTCCTACTCATCTTCATCTTCCTCCTCCTCTTCCTCCTTTTCTTCCTCTTCTTCCTCCTCCTCCTCTTCCTCTTCTTCCTCTTCCTCCTCCTCCTCCTCCTCCTCCTCCTCCTCCTCCTCCTCCTCCTCCTCCTCCTCCTCCTCTCCTCTTCTTCCTCTTCTTCCTCCTCCTCCTCCTTCTCGTTCTCCTCCTCCTCGTCCTACTCATCTTCATCTTCCTCCTCCTCTTCCTCCTTTTCTTCCTCTTCTTCCTCTTCCTCCTCTATTTCCTCCTCCTCCTTCTCTGCCTCCTCCTCTTCCAACTTCCTCCTCCTCCTTCTCTTCCTCCTCCTCCTCCTCTTCCTTTTCTTCCTCCTCCTCCTCCTTCTCTTCCTCTTCCTCCGTCTCCTCCTGCTCCTCTTCTTCCTCTCCCTTCTCTTCCTCCCCTTCCTCCTCTTCCTCTTCCTTCCCCTCTTCCTCCTCCTCCTCCTCCTCCTCCTTCTTCGCTTCCTCTTCCTCCTCCTCTCCTTCCTTTTCCTCCTCTTCCTCACTCTCCTCCTCCTTCTCCTCTCCCTCTTCCTCCTCCTTCTCTTCCTCATTCTGTTCCTCCTCTTCCTCCTCTCTTTCCTTTTCTTCCTCCTCTTCCTTCTCGTCCTCGTTCTCCTCTTTCCCCTCCTCCTCTTCCTCTTCCTCCCCCTCTTCTTCCTCTTCCTCTTTATCCTCTTCCTCCTCCTCCTTCTCTTCCTCCCCCTTTTCTTCCTACTCTCCTCTTCCTCTTCCTTCTCCTCCTCCTTCTCTCCTTCCTCCTCTTCCACTTTCTCCTCTTCCAAACTCATCTTCCTCCTCTTCCTTCTTCTCCTCCTTCTCTTCCTCTTCCTCCTCCTCCTTCTCCTTCACTTCCTCTTCTTTCGCCTCCTCCACCTCTTCCTCCCCCTCCTGTTCTTCCTCTTCCTCCTCTTCCTTCTCCTCCTCTCCTTCTTTTTCTTCTTCCTCCTTCTCCTTCTTCTCATTCTTCTCATTCTTCTCTTCCCTCTCCTCCTCTCCATCTTCTCTTTCCTCCTCCTCCTCCTCTCCGTCTTCTCTTTCCTCCTCCTCCTCCTCCTCTCCATCTTCTCTTTCCTCCTCCTCCTCCTCCTCCTCCTCTCCATCTTCTCTTTCCTCCTCCTCCTCCTCCTCCTCCCCATCTCTTTCCTCCTCCTCCTCCTCTCCGTCTTCTCTTTCCTCCTCCTCCTCCTCCTGTCCGTCTTCTCTTTCCTCCTCCTCCTCCTCCCATCTCTTTCCTCCTCCTCCTCCTCTCCGTCTTCTCTTTCCTCCTCCTCCTACTCCCCATCTCTTTCCTCCTCCTCCTCCTCTCCGTCTTCTCTTTCCTCCTCCTCCTCCTCCTGTCCGTCTTCTCTTTCCTCCTCCTCCTCCTCCTGTCCGTCTTCTCTTTCCTCCTCCTCCTCCTCCTGTCCGTCTTCTCTTTCCTCCTCCTCCTCCTCCTCTCCGTCTTCTCTTTCCTCCTCCTCCTCCTCTCCGTCTTCTCTTTCCTCCTCCTCCTCCTCCTCCTCCTCTCCGTCTTCTCTTTCCTCCTCCTCCTCCTCTCCGTCTTCTCTTTCCTCCTCCTCCTCCTCCTCCTCCTCTCCGTCTTCTCTTTCCTCCTCCTCCTCCTCCTCCTGTCCGTCTTCTCTTTCCTCCTCCTCCTCCTCCTCCTCTCCGTCTTCTCTTTCCTCCTCCTCTCCGTCTTCTCTTTCCTCCTCCTCCTCCTCCTCCTCTCCGTCTTCTCTTTCCTCCTCCTCTCCGTCTTCTCTTTCCTCCTCCTCCTCCTCTCCATCTTCTCTTTCCTCCTCCTCCTCCTCCTCTCCGTCTTCTCTTTCCTCCTCCTCCTCCTCTCCGTCTTCTCTTTCCTCCTCCTCCTCCTCTCCGTCTTCTCTTTCCTCCTCCTCCTCCTCCTCCTCCTCTCCGTCTTCTCTTTCCTCCTCCTCCTCCTCTCCGTCTTCTCTTTCCTCCTCCTCCTCCTCTCCGTCTTCTCTTTCCTCCTCCTCCTCCTCCTCCTCCTCTCCGTCTTCTCTTTCCTCCTCCTCCTCCTCCTCTCCATCTTCTCTTTCCTCCTCCTCCTCCTCCTCCTCCTCTCCGTCTTCTCTTTCCTCCTCCTCCTCCTCTCCATCTTCTCTTTCCTCCTCCTCCTCCTCCTCTCCGTCTTCTCTTTCCTCCTCCTCCTCCTCTCCGTCTTCTCTTTCCTCCTCCTCCTCCTCTCCGTCTTCTCTTTCCTCCTCCTCCTCCTCCTCCTCCTCTCCGTCTTCTCTTTCCTCCTCCTCCTCCTCCTCTCCATCTTCTCTTTCCTCCTCCTCCTCCTCCTCCTCCTCTCCGTCTTCTCTTTCCTCCTCCTCCTCCTCTCCGTCTTCTCTTTCCTCCTCCTCCTCCTCCTCTCCATCTTCTCTTTCCTCCTCCTCCTCCTCTCCGTCTTCTCTTTCCTCCTCCTCCTCCTCCTCCTCCTCTCCGTCTTCTCTTTCCTCCTCCTCCTCCTCCTCTCCATCTTCTCTTTCCTCCTCCTCCTCCTCCTCCTCCTCTCCGTCTTCTCTTTCCTCCTCCTCCTCCTCTCCATCTTCTCTTTCCTCCTCCTCCTCCTCCTCTCCGTCTTCTCTTTCCTCCTCCTCCTCCTCTCCGTCTTCTCTTTCCTCCTCCTCCTCCTCTCCGTCTTCTCTTTCCTCCTCCTCCTCCTCCTCTCCATCTTCTCTTTCCTCCTCCTCCTCCTCTCCGTCTTCTCTTTCCTCCTCCTCCTCCTCCTCCTCCTCTCCGTCTTCTCTTTCCTCCTCCTCCTCCTCTCCGTCTTCTCTTTCCTCCTCCTCCTCCTCCTCCTCTCCATCTTCTCTTTCCTCCTCCTCCTCCTCTCCGTCTTCTCTTTCCTCCTCCTCCTCCTCCTCCTCCTCTCCGTCTTCTCTTTCCTCCTCCTCCTCCTCTCCGTCTTCTCTTTCCTCCTCCTCCTCCTCTCCGTATTCTCTTTCCTCCTCCTCCTCCTCTCCGTCTTCTCTTTCCTCCTCCTCCTCCTCCTCCTCCTCTCCGTCTTCTCTTTCCTCCTCCTCTCCATCTTCTCTTTCCTCCTCCTCCTCCTCCTCCTCCTCTCCGTCTTCTCTTTCCTCCTCCTCCTCCTCCTCCTCCTCTCCATCTTCTCTTTCCTCCTCCTCCTCCTCTCCGTCTTCTCTTTCCTCCTCCTCCTCCTCCTCCTCCTCCTCTCCGTCTTCTCTTTCCTCCTCCTCCTCCTCCTCCTCCTCTCCATCTTCTCTTTCCTCCTCCTCCTCTCCATTCTTCTCCTTCCTCCTCCTCCTCCTCCTCCTCCTCTCCGTCTTCTCTTTCCTCCTCCTCCTCCTCCTCCTCCTCTCCGTCTTCTCTTTCCTCCTCCTCCTCCTCCTCCTCCTCTCCATCTTCTCTTTCCTCCTCCTCCTCCTCCTCCTCTCCGTCTTCTCTTTCCTCCTCCTCCTCCTCCTCCTCCTCTCCGTCTTCTCTTTCCTCCTCCTCCTCCTCTCCATCTTCTCTTTCCTCCTCCTCCTCCTCCTCTCCGTCTTCTCTTTCCTCCTCCTCCTCCTCCTCTCCGTCTTCTCTTTCCTCCTCCTCCTCTCCGTCTTCTCTTTCCTCCTCCTCCTCCTCCTCTACGTCTTCTCTTTCCTCCTCCTCCTCCTCTCCGTCTCTTTCCTCCTCCTCCTCCTGTCCGTCTTCTCTTTCCTCCTCCTCCTCCTCCTCTCCGTCTCTTTCCTCCTCCTCCTCCTGTCCGTCTTCTCTTTCCTCCTCCTCCTCTTCTCCATCTTCTCTTTCCTCCTCCTCCTCCTCTCCGTCTTCTCTTTCCTCCTCCTCCTCCTCCTCCTCTCCGTCTTCTCTTTCCTCCTCCTCCTCCTCTCCGTCTTCTCTTTCCTCCTCCTCCTCCTCCTCTCCATCTTCTCTTTCCTCCTCCTCCTCTCCGTCTTCTCTTTCCTCCTCTTCCTCCTCCTCCTCTCCGTCTTCTCTTTCCTCCTCCTCCTCCTCCTCCTCTCCGTCTTCTCTTTCCTCCTCCTCCTCCTCCTCCTCTCCGTCTTCTCTTTCCTCCTCCTCCTCCTCCTCCTCTCCATCTTCTCTTTCCTCCTCCTCCTCCTCCTCTCCATCTTCTCTTTCCTCCTCCTCCTCTCCGTCTTCTCTTTCTTCCTCCTCCTCCTCCTCCCTCTCAAAGGCGTCTCCGTTTCCCAGGCGTGGTCGACGCGTCCGGATTGAGGCTGTTCTACACCGAGAAGCCGCGGCGGTTCGAGGCCGGCTCCATGATCGTCGGCCACGGCCTCTTCAGCCACATCATTCCTCCGAAGGCCGACAGGTGGCTCTCCGTCGGCCACTGCATTGCCGATTGCACCGGCGAGGTAAGCTGCAGCGCTGCTGGTCTTCTGTGATTGGTCATCGATATTAAGTCATGGTATCAGTGAGCTATTGTCCTCTTTTACCAAAATGTATGAAAAAAATAGAACGGAGAATACAGGTAGACGAAAATCAGACTACTTTTTTCGTTTTGAACAAGAGTAAAGGCTCAAGAAATGTTTCAAGGCAAAATCTTCAAAATTTTCTCTCCTCCTCCTCCTCTTCTTCTTCTTCTTCTTCTTCTTCTTCTTCTTCTTCTTCTTCTTCTTCTTCTTCTTCTTCTTCTTCTTCTTCTTCTTCCTCCTCCTCCTCCTCCCCCCTCCTGCTCCTTTCCTTTGCAGATGATCCCCGCCGAAGGCGTGAAGGTGGTCCAGGGTTTACTGCACTCTCACCTGCTGGGGAGGGAACTCTACCTCCGCCAGATTCGCGACGGAAAAGAGCTGCCGATGGTCTTCAGCGGTGAGTCTGTTGCTGCCTTTCTTTGTCTACGTTTAGGAAGTCATGAGAATCTGGTGCCTTTATCATACCTTGTTATTTTTCTATTGGTATCTCTTTATCTTTTATGGCTTATTATCACATTTTAGAAACTCCCTTATGACCATTTCATTGTTTGGTTGACGAGATTATGCTGATATTGACACTGTTATTCCTGTGTTACATATTCGTTATATTATGCTATATGATTCAAAATACCTGAATCATATAAATAGATTAATGAATTAACTGAGATAAGAAAGATAGGAAATACAAAATGATACAAAACTTTATTTGTAGTCATTTGATTGATGAATTGATAAATACAGATCAAAACATAAATCCAAGAGACAGTTGGATATTCTTTGCCCACCGTGGCTATTTACAAGTACTCGTACACGGCCTGAAGCAATGCCTCAGTCATTGCTGGCATTATGCCTGGTACAAGCTACCTACATGCTAGTGTCCTGCTGCTTACGTGCTTCGAAACAAACCGCAAATATATTAGTAAACTTACCGTGCAATGCGTCCTCGTCAGTTCCTCGACCCTTTAAAACACCCTTCTCTCTATTGCTCTTGAACTCGCAGATCGCAGCTATGACTTCAACTACCAGCAAACAAGGGTCCTGAAGGAGGAGATGACTATCCTACCTGGGGATTCCTTTATCACGGAGTGTGTGTACGATTCCAGTGACAGAAGCGACCCATCCTTTGTAAGTGAAGCTTTTATGTAATATGAGTTTGGTTGCAACAGTGTTCTTGAAAGTATGTTGATTGTGATATCACGAGAGAGAGAGAGAGAGAGAGAGAGAGAGAGAGAGAGAGAGAGAGAGAGAGAGAGAGAGAGAGAGAGAGAGAGAGAGAAAGGGAGAGGGAAAGGGAGAGGGAAAGGGAGAGGGAAAGGGAAAGGGAAAGGGAGAGGGAAGGGGAAGGGGAAGGGGAAGGGGAAAGGGAAAGGGAAAGGGAAGGGGAAAGGGAAGGGGAAAGGGAGAGAGAGAGAGAGAGAGAGAGAGAGAGAGAGAGAGAGAGAGAGAGAGAGAGAGAGAGAGAGAGAGAGAGAGAGAGAGTCTGAGAGAGAGAGGGAGAGAGAGAGGGAGAGAGAGAGAGAGAGAGAGGGAGAGAGAGAGAGAGAGAGAGAGAGAGTCTGAGAGGGAGAGAGAGAGAGAGAGAGAGAGAGAGTCTGAGAGGGAGAGAGAGAGAGAGAGAGAGAGAGAGTCTGAGAGAGAGAGAGAGAGAGAGAGAGAGAGAGAGAGAGAGAGAGAGAGAGAGAGAGAGAGAGAGAGAGAGAGAGAGAGAGAGTCTGAGAGGGAGAGAGAGAGAGAGAGAGAGAGTCTGAGAGGGAGAGAGAGAGAGAGAGAGAGAGAGAGTCTGAGAGAGAGAGAGAGAGAGAGAGAGAGAGAGAGAGAGAGAGAGAGAGAGAGAGAGAGAGAGAGAGAGAGAGAGAGAGAGAGAGAGAGAGAGAGAGAGAACACGTACGCAGAGCCACAGACTCCCTATTGCTCTGTATTTTTTCAATATTTCACGAGGTTCAAGGTTTTCTACACACTTGATTTTTTACTCACTTGTTATTAAGTTATCCATGATCCCTGGGGTGGACCTACAACCTTTTTAGCACATTAATAATGAAGGAAATTGACGAATTAACTTTCCCCCTCCCGCTGCCCAAGCAGGTGTAAGCGTCACTCTTTGTTTACATTAGCGCCACTCTCCCTCTCTCAAACAAGCGTAGCACCAAACTATCGCTCTGCATGTATAACTACGCCCCTACTGATTCTTTATAGCCTGACTATAAAGCGTTGCTGGGCGTCTTATTCATGTATGGCTGTTGTCTTTGTTTATTAATAAAGACCCTTTTACTTCTTACTTCCTACTTTTCGTTAGAGACCTGAGCAGTCACTGTCCACAAAGCTTCGAGTCTTTGCACGTGGATATACTGGCAGTGTTCTTGAGACGGGAAGGCACTTTCGGTTTTCTGAAAACCAACTGTTAGGCGTAGGCTCCACCCTGAACAAGGGCGTCTCATGTCAACCCCGAGACCCGACTAGCAAGAAACGGTAAAATCTCGGGGTCATATGAGTACAAGAGACATAGGTAGGACATCGTACATATATATGAATATATAGTTTTTATATATACATATAAATTTATCAGTATTGTCTTGGTGCTACACTCTCTCTTTTTGTACTTTTTATGATTTTATTTACTATTTTAATGTGTCTTCTGATTCTATGTTTATGTTTATGTAATATACAAAGGGTTGTGTGATAGATTTAGTGGGCGTGGCTGTGACTGTGACAAACACACTTTTAAAGTATTATTTATCTTATACCGTATTTTTTACCTTTTAAGTGTGAGCGTTTTGCATTTGCCTCTTATAGTGAATATATATACATACATACATAAACATATATATATATATATATGTGTGTGTGTGTGTGTGTGTGTGTGCGCGCGCGCGCGCGTGTGTGTGCGCGTGTGTGTATTGCATTCTTTTAATCATATTCCTCTAAGTATACGCAATTTTAATTAACATTTTTAGCACATATATTTTTTAAGGACAATTCACTTAGCTGTGATTACGCATTCTATGTGCTGGAGAGTGTGATTAAGTCTGAAGTGACATTATGTCAGAATCGAGACGACACGCTCGTATTGCTCGTCCTCAAGGGCTGTCTGGATACGTACCACGAGAGTGGTGCTGTGTCTGTGGCAAATCGACTATCAGTAAGCCGTCAGTCAAGTGCTCTGATCCAGAGTGTCACAATATCTGTCACAGCACATGTCTTGACAACAACCAGGTATTCGACTGCTCAGACACCCAAAACCTGCGGTTTACTCTCGGTATCGAAGCGGTAGTCCTCTACATTGAGGACCAACCAACCTCTGAGGAAGACAGTGGGGAAAATACCAGCGAGGAAGAAGAGCTTCTCCAGCTTGAACCTCGAGAGCTCGTAAAAACGATCTTGCAACTCAGAGCAGATTTGGCCAAAAAGACTTTCTTGCTAAAGTTCCTTAGCAACCCAGCTCAGGACTTAGCACGTGGACGGGACGCTGCTGTTTCTATTGTCAACTTTTACGACAGCCTTATTGCTGCAACTTCTATTAGTGCAGTTAAACTTAAAACTATAGCCTGCACAGCCAAACCCAACAAAATTGACCAGGCTACTGGTTATCAACACCAGTCACACCCACAGTCAACCTCATCTCAACAGCTGCAACAGCCACATCAGTTGTCATTGTCTCAGCCAGACAATCAAAACAGCCAGCCGCCTACATCAACTCCACCTCAACAGGAACAGACTGATCAGGCCCGGCTGAACCAAGCACAGGCTCGCACACAACATATACAGAGGCCCCATAACCCCCAGACAACCACTCATAATCGACAGCAGAGATCTAACAGGCAGACTCTTTACTGCAAGCATTGTAAAAGCAAGGGTCACTCCGAAAATAATTGCCGTAAGATTAAAGAATGTGAATATTGTTATCACAGAGGACATCAAACATCTGAGTGTCGTATGAAGAGACAAGAGGAAAGACAAGAACGTCTCTTCCAGTGCATTGCTGCAGAACAGCGTCAAAGCAATGCTATCTTGGTGCAAGCAATACAGCAGCACTTGAAGCCATACACTCCACATATTTCACATCTTTCCTTGCAAGCCAACGGCTGGCCAACATCAGCCATTCAGCCACCCAACCAACAAACCACTAACCCTCTACAAGGTCCCTGGTACAATGCCACACAACCACAGAGGAATGGCCCACCTGCGCATCCTCTCCGCTAATGTTAGAGGCTTCCAAACGAACTTGGGAGACCTCACACATAGCCACATAATTCCACATCAACCTGACATCATTGCTGCTGTGGAAACTTTCTTGAACTCCACAGTACCTGAGAATTTTGGGAGGGTTGGTGGTTACTCCAAGTGGCACAGACGTGACAGAATGCATGGTACTTTTGGAGGCATCGCTGTTTGCTTTCGAAGAACACTACATGTACACTCACTTGAGATTGATGTAGCAGATCATCTTGAACTCATGTTTTTCAAAATCTGGACAGACACACAAGATGTTGTGCTTCTCTGTGTCTGCTACAGACCCCAGTGGCAAGGCTCTGAACCACTTGTTTATCTTCAAGCCAACCTGGATAATATTCTCCAAGCACACTCCTGCAAGAATATTATAATACTAGGGGATCGGAACCAACACTTGGTTGAAAGATCATTTGAAGAGCTCCTCACTACATTCGGGCTCACAAATCATGTTCATTTCCCAACCCACATATCAGGCTCCTCCCTTGACCCTGTGATTACTAATCTGGCTGAATCAGACGTCAGTTGGCTTCCCTGGGCACAGTTTGGCAAGATCAGCCTAAAAGCTGCGCGAGAAGAAACTTTGTCCCGTACAATCTGGCAATGGGAAAATGCAGACTGGCAAGGCATGCGTGATGCATTATCTGTAGCTCCCTGGGAAGACATTCTCACTGGCACTGTTGACAGACAAGCACTGGCCCTTACCAAATTACTAGCCAGCCTATAAACAATGTATGTACCTAACAAGACATACAAGACAAAATCCACAGATCAGCCATGGTTTGGCTACAATTGTAGAATGGCATCTGACCAGAAGATGAGAGCCTGGAACCGTTATAAGCGCCATCCCACACGAAGGAATAAAGATATTCATGCTATGGCTTGCAGGAGAATGAAAGCTGTCCAAAAATGGGCAATTAATCGATGGAAGGAGGACCTTCGGTTAAAACTCTCTAGTCGTTCAGTGGGAAGTAAAGCCTGGTGGAGCTGCATCAAACAACAACAAGGATTTTCCCCTGACGACTGCATCCCCCTCTCAACAAGCCTGATGGATCAGTTGCAACCTCCAGCAGAGAGAAGGCTGAACTTCTGGCTTCACTCTTCTCCGAAAAGATGAGAGTACATGACCCTGACCGATATTCTCCTAGTTTGCCTCTCGTGACTCACTCGAAGCTGAGCTCTTTCGTGATCACAAGCAGAAGTCAGGCAGCATCTAAATGAGGCTGATGTCCATAAGGCCATAGGACCTGATAAAGTCAGTCCTTACACACTTCACAGGTGTGCCAGGCAGCTGGCTGTTCCTCTTGCCTCACTTTTCCAAACATGCCTGAGATACAGTAAATGGCCTAATATTTGGAAGAAAGCAAACATTGTGGCAGTACACAAAAAGAAGAGCAAATCAGATCCAAATAACTATCGTCCAATTTCACTCCTTTCCTCCGTTGGCAAAACATTTGAAAAGATTCTAGCAAACAAACTGACTCTTTATTTTGATAAAAAACATCTACTCAGTACAAGACAATTTGGCTTCAGGTCACACAGATCGGCTTCAGACCTACTTCTGCACCTAACCACAATATGGCACCAAGCTCTTGATACTCGCAAGGACACCTTTGTTGTTGCACTCGATATAGCAGGAGCATTTGATAGAGTGTGGCACAAGGGCCTTGCATCGAAGCTGAAGAGCTTTGGAATTGACGGCAACCTACTAATGCTACTCGAGGATTACCTCCAAGAAAGAACATTAAGAGTTGTCGTTAATGGTCACACATCCAGTGAATTCCCCATTCAAGCCAGTGTACCTCAAGGCAGTGTAATCGGACCACTTCTGTGGAACGTTTACTTTAATGATATCCTACAGCTCATCCCTGAGGCTTATGCTTACGCTGACGACTGCACTCTCACTTTCACCTGCGATACCCAAAACCGCGCAGTGGCAGTTAGACACATAAATGACACACTTGACTATATAATGTATTGGAGTAAAAAGTGGCAGGTTACTCTGGCACCAGATAAAACCCAAGCAATGGTTATATCTAGACGTCAGACACCGGACAACGCCCTTGCATCCATCATAAAGCTTGATAACAAACCCATCACTATTAGCAAGGATATCAACATTCTTGGCATGCAGATTGATAGTCACCTAACCTTCACCAGTCACGTCAAAGAGCTAGCAAAGAACGCAGCAAGAAAGTTGGCCTGTATACGACGCATCGCTCCTCTGCTTGACAGCAAAGGATGCGCAGTCCTTTACAACTCCCAAGTCCGCTCTTTGATGGAGTATTCGCCGCTCGCCTAGCTGTCTTCCCCGCCAACTCATCTTGCCCTCCTGGACACCGTTCAGAACAGAGCCCAGCGGCTAGTGGAACGGAAGACGCCCGTAAATGAGCCGTCACCACATTTTCAGTCCCTTCAACATCGGAGAGATGTAGCTGGCCTTTGCGTCTTCTACAAGATACATAAACAAAATAGTTCCCCGCTGACATCGCTACGACTTCCACCAGCAGACGCACCCACGTACGGGAAAAGAAATGCCAGTAATCGAGTCCAAGAAGTCCAGGTTCCCTTCGCGAGAAATGAGCTCTATCTTCGCTCCTTCCTGCCTAGATTTTCTAGAATGTGGAACATTTTAGCTCAGCAAACTTACCTGCTTTATCTCGACACATTACAGCTGTTCAAGTCAGCAGTGAATGCTTGGAGATTACAATATGAACCAGGCTAAGTAATTTCCACCTGTAAAATTTTTTAGTTAGACCAATTTCTCTTTTATCAGGATTAAGTTTTAAATATCTGTTTTAAGCTATAAATAATTTGACCTTTAATGGAAATTTTAGCACACATATAAACATGATAAACTCTACTATACTATACAGACCATGTACCTTTGGAATAAAGTTAAAAAACAAAAAAAAAAAAAAGAGAGAGAGAGAGAGAGAGAGAGAGAGAGAGAGAGAGAGAGAGAGAGAGAGAGAGAGAGAGAGAGAGAGAGAGAGAGAGAGAGGGGGGGGGGGAAAGGGAGAGGGAGGGAGGGAGAGAGAGAGAGAGAGAGAGAGAGAGAGAGAGAGAGAGAGAGAGAGAGAGAGAGAGAGAGAGAGAGAGAGGGGGGGAAGGGAGAGGGAGGGAGAGAGAGAGAGAGAGAGAGAGAGAGGGGGGGGGAAGGGAGAGGGAGGGAGAGAGAGAGAGAGAGAGAGAGAGAGAGAGAGAGAGAGAGAGAGGGGGGGGGGAAGGGAGAGGGAGGGAGGGAGAGAGAGAGAGAGAGAGAGAGAGAGAGAGAGAGAGAGAGAGAGAGAGAGAGAGAGAGAGAGAGGGGGGGGGGGGAGGGAGAGGGAGGGAGAGAGAGAGAGAGAGAGAGAGAGAGAGAGAGAGAGAGAGAGAGAGAGAGAGAGAGAGAGAGAGAGAGAGAGAGAGAGACCCCGCCCCTTAGCCTTTCCTCCTCCACTCTCGCCAGGGCGGCTTCGGCAGCGACGAGGAGATGTGCCTGGCGTACCTGACGTATTACCCGAGAACCAACATCTCTACCTGCACCTCCAACCCCTCCATGGCCGTCCTTCTCGAGTCCTTCGGCATTGATGAGATCTATAAAACTGGCAATTTCCTGTGAGTA